GGGTGATTAGGGTCTTATGCTAATCTAATCCGATTATATGCCAATTAAAACTACCTTAAGGCTCCCCTTTTTTTCCCTCGTAAAACCGCAGACGATCCTTGTCGGAGAATCGTCTGCTTTTATCGGAGAATCGTCTGCTCCCCTGATATAGATCCGCAGACCTATTGAGATGCGAACCGATCGACCGGTATCTAAGAGAAGTAAAAGTCGTTCTTCTATCTATCGTTCAAGGGCAAGGGGAGAACATGTAGCGGCTTGCCTAGATCTCGTATTTCCACGTAGCTCGTCGGTCAAACCAATGTTCTCTTCTCAAAGTAATAGAGAGAGTTTTTTCCGGTATGTAGTGTAGTTCGCGAGCTAGGAGCGCATCATCGGGGCAGGGCGAAACGGTCATCACTTCTGCTTTCTTGTTTTGTGTCCAGTCCGTTGTGTGTCTTTGTTTTAGGCTTATCTTATCCGGGGGCTGCTGTTCTGGGACAGAAAGAAAATGACAGTTTTTGCTGAGATCTCACATCGAGAGCAGCTCCTTCTTGTTCAGGGTCGATCTTCCTCCGACTCCGAGGAATCGGTCAAGCGAAGCGGGAGGCTACCCTTGCCTCGACTCACCTCTCTCTCTATGAAAACCCCTCCACTGAGGAGAGCAGAAGCTCCAGGATGAATATGTCCTGGATTCCCGGATTCATTCTCGTCCTGATCCACCATTTCAATTTTAGGAATCTACAAAAACATTAACGGAAAGGGCTCGTAATGATCTTTGAGAAGATCACAAGGTGCGGAAGTGGCTGGAGGGGGGAGGGGGGGATCCGTAGGTTTTTTGAAAGGGATGCTCTTATCATGCATGTTATTGCTGATATGATAAGAAACCGAATTCCTATATTTTGATGTCGATTCATCCACACTTCCATTCCTTGCAGAGGAAAGCTAACTGCTTGCTGGCTGGGAGCTGTATGAGCGGTAACGTCCACGTACGGCTCCGTGAGAAGGTGGACAGAAATGGCCTTGTTGTACCTCACTCCGCGTCTTCAATGGGGTCTGCTCTTTTTTTTTTGGGAGAGTATGCCAATATGATCTTAATGAGGTGCGGGGCTTTGCATCTGACATTCGTTGGGCTTCCCTCTGCGAGAGCCAGCGTCCCGGCGTTTTGTGCAATAAACCCCTCCGGCCGAAGACTAGTGATAGGTGGTCCGCGGAGCTTTCGAAGAAGGGTAGCCTAGTGTGTAAGCACAGCAATGAACCGCGGCGAACCCTCAGACGACCCATCTAAGATTAGGGGGGAGATCCTCAGTAGTGGTGACCCTTTGACTCTTCCACGGACTTATACATGTACGAATGCTCATACGGGAAAGTGAACTCCTGGGTCTGGAACCAGGGGGGTTGCTCCGAGAAATCCTTTCTTTCTCGTCCACTCCAGGGGGTGGCGACACACCTGCGCGGATTACAGGTGACGGTTACAAGAATGGCGGGGAAGTGAACAGTACGACGACATTCAGGGATGAATGTAGACCCATCGGGCAGGGATAATCATTCCGGTCCTGGGAGAGGTGGCGACACCAGTCTGAGCTGAGGGAGGCCCTATGAGTCACTGAAACGACCGCTGGAGGCGCACCCTAAGCCCAGCTTCTCGGAGCTGCTATTGCGAAATACCGCTGACCCTTACGACTATAAGCAACAGGGGGGCTGGCTGCTCGCCTTCATAGAAAGGCGACCGGGCCTAGATTAGATGTTCGCCTTTTTTTTTATAGAATAGAAGGAGAAGGTAAAGGGGGGTTGGGAGATTCTTGAAAGAATGCATGGCTTCTTCCTATTCCGCTTCACACAGAAGAAGATTGTTACAAGGTGCTGGCTTCCGTAATATAAAAAGTCATCAGCAAACAAGTTGTGTGTGACCGGATTGGCATCATTGGGAACATGGTCTGATGAGACCAAGGCTTGTTCTCGCCTTCATAAGAATCGAGAACCTCCATGACGATACAGAAAAGATAAGGTGAGAGGGGAAGCTCTATCCTCTTTCGAGTCGCAAAGAAGAGGGCTTAACAGCGCCTACAACATGGCATGAAAGTCGCTTTCTAGAATTGGACTGTCCAGGTGGAAAGTGCTCTTTTTCGCTTTTTTTTCTTTCCTCACTAACGCTCGCCTTTCTGCTCTTCAGAAAAATGGAAGGATCTCACTATGCGTCCTTTTCAGACCGAACTGTCTGGCGTGAATCGTTCTATCTAGGACCTCTTTTTTTCAGCCTTTGAATATCGTAGTGGAGTTGATCACTATAGATCCTACCGACTTTTCTCTCCAACTAACTTGGATTCTTTTCTTCTTTGTATTCACATAGTTATAGTTGGAAAGCGCTTTTCTTTGAGGTTTCAGATCAAGGTTGGATCAATCTATTTCGCTTTTCCTTCTCTTTTTAGGATTCATGGACCAGTTCAGCTGCTCAGACGGACTTGGAGAGACAAACTCATAAATAGAAGAGAATGCCTCTTCCTTTCCCATCCCATTTTGTTTGTCGGTGAAACCGACATTGAATTGACCCCGCACTTTTCCCATTGTTTGAAGAGCAAGATCGGGAGGGCCAGGAAAAGTTTTCATTTTTTTTCTTTTAATGAGCTTGAAGGAGTGGACTCCTTCCTTTCTTCTCCGGCATCTTAGGAGAAAAAACTTTTTTTTTATTTATGATGATCTCCCAACTCAAAAACCCATGTTCTGCATTATGGATCGTAGAATTTTATCTTTTTGATTGGTTAGAGCAACAGACTCATCTTTCAGAACTTTGTGTGAGACTTATTCGACTGGGGCGGATCACGATCTTAGTGTCGGATTGCTATTCTTGCTCGACGTCTTTCGCGTTTCCTGGATGGGATGGTGAAAGCCAAAAAAAAGCTGTATAAGTTCATGTCTGTCTCTCTTGCTGAGAGTGATAAGCATACTTTAAGAATCAAAAGATAGTCTGACTTAAGGGATTTCATCGGGCTGTAGCTATGCAGCTACAGGGATTTCATCGGCTCATGATATGCAGCAGCAGCTACTAAAGGCCTATGGGAAATAATCGAGCCCAAACAATCGTCTTCTCAGGATCAAGACTCAGAAAATTCTGCGGAGTATCTTGCCTACACACCTAGTCACCATCGTCTTCCTTCGGTCATTGATTCTGGAGCAACTAACCACATGGTGTTCTCACAATGAATTGTATCTTACAAGAGTGATCGGGTAATACCCTCAGTATCCCTAGCCCATGGTACAATATGTTCCTGTTACTGGTATAGGAAAAAGTTTCATTGTCTCATGCTCCTACTCTTTCTCATGTGTTTCATGTCCTTTTATTAGATAAGAATATAGTTTATGTTAGTAAACTAACCAAATCCCTAAATTGTTTTGCTCTTTTCTTTCCAACCCCTTCTAAATAATATAAACTGATCAAGGTTTTCCAGGACCTCAGCTCGGGAGCGATGATTGGATCAGGTAAAGAGAGGAGAGGGCGATTTTACTTGGACAAAGGTCCCACTCAAATCCTTCATCATGCTGCTGGAGCTAAAGAAAAGAGTGATCAGTCTTGGAGTCTATGGCACAAGCGTTTTGGTCATGTCAACTATCAAAGGATTCCGCTTTCATAGTGGGGGCCGCATCAGGTCTCATTCCTCTTTCGTCTATGTCCGTCACTCAAGAGTGACATACGGTGTGTTACATTTCAGTTATAAAAAAAAGCAAACTTCTTGTTCTATTAATAGGAAAGTTCGTTAGTAATAAGATAAAGATGGCATATTCCAATTTTGTAGTCCCTTCTTCCGTACTGAGAGACTGACATCAGACTTGTAGCATTCTCGGAAACCTACAGACCTTTTTCGCAAGTAGAAAGATTGTTCCCTCTCTGAACATAAATGGCGCTATCTATTCCTTCAACCCTATGTTGACTTGCTGTCAAAGATTCGATGCAATGAACAGGAATTGCTTTAAGAAAACTCTTCATCTCCGTGTGCCATGTGCCTTGAAGCTCCAGAGTCTATCGATCCATAGTACCATGCTTATGCTGATGGATAAAAAAGTAAACTGGACGATCGGAAGAATCCGCAATGATATTCTTTATTTTCTCGGACAGGCCCTTCTTTTCTCATTCGAATAGGACATCTCTTTCGTAATAGATCATCTACAACTGAAAGGACTGACGTCTTCTCTACTCGATCCTTAGTTAGACTATCATCCCTATCACCTCGGGATTCTAGTCTGATCCTCATAGCGAACTCTCTTCTATTTCTATTCGCGTTCCTCCCCTGGGATCTATTCTTGCCGCGTCCACGTCCTCTGCCTCCAGCAACTAGAGCTGCATCATCTTGCTCATTATTGAGAATAGGCCTCTCCTCACACCGTACCAGTTCATCGATATGCTTCATCT